CCTTCCTTCCTTCCTTCCTTCCTTCCTTCCTTCCTTCCTTCCTTCCTGCTCTCCTGCTCTCCCAAACCCTTCTCCCTTCTACTCCTGTTAACATTCCCTAGTTGGGTCACAAAACGTCTGCAAGCGACCCACCAAGCTCAGCAAGCCCCAGCTTCCACCCTGAGCCTCACTGTCCCCTGGAGGCCAAGATCTAACCCTCTTTTAAGGTTTGATGGTGACCAGGATTGGGGGCCCGTTGCAACCATGACACCTTAGTAGGCGGACCGCAGTTTCATGTGGGGTTATGTATCAAGTCCCGGTTCATCAAATCCCTTGTGCTGCATCCCCCCCCCAAAAAGAAACCCAGTGTCCCCCCCCCCAAACCAAGCAACCCCTCCTCAAAATGCGACCCTCATTCCTCCCCCAAAAGGACACACAAAGATGGCAATGCACACCACCACCACCACCACCTCCTCTCTGGCTGCTCTTTCCGGGTTTCTATTGGGTGGGTGGCAGAAGGGAAAAGAGGGGAGGGGGGAAGCAGCCGCCAAGTCTGTCATTCTGTAAGGGTCTCCTGCTGAGCAGGGGGTTGGGCTAGATGACCTCCCAGGTCCCTTCCCACTCTCATTCTGTGATTCTATGAGTCTCCTGAGGGAGCAGGGGGTTGGGATAGATGACCTCCTAGGTCCCTCCCAACACTGTTACTCTATGATTCTGTAAGGGTCTCCTGATGGAGCAGGGGGTTGGGATAGATCACCTCCTAGGTCCCTTCTAACTCTAAACGTTATCTTCCTCCATCCACCATCCCTAAGCAGGGTTTCCCTGCCTGTCGCCATGGAGATAAAAGGCCGGAGGACCAGGAGGCAGTTGCTATAGCAACCACCGGGCAATGACACCCACAAAGGCCAATGGAATGTTTCCTTCCTGGGTTGCCGAGTCCCGTCACAAGGGGGAAAACACGCTAAGCATGCGTCCAACGGTCGTTTTTGCAGGCCACCCTTTGGCTTTCTTAAAGGGCAATCCAGGCTGACAGAACCGGCATTAAACCATCTTTTACGGTGCCGACCATTCTTTTCAGCAAAACTTAGCCATGAAAAAAACAGCTGGAATTAAATTATGGTTACGATATTTATCAAGACTTTCAGAAGGCAGAAGACGGAGGAAGGGAGGGAGAGAGAGAGAGAGAGAGATAGGATGGATGCAGAGATTGATAGATAGATATACATAGATGATAGATAGATATACATAGATGATAATTAGATATAGAGATGATAGATGGATAGATAGATGATAATATCTATAGATAGTAGATTAGATAGATACAGAGATATTAGATAGAAAGATAGATGATGGATGGATGAATGGATGGATAGATAATGAGATGGATGAATAGATACTAGATGGATAGATAGGATGAATTGGTAGATAGGATGGATGGATGGATGAATACAGAAACACACACACACACACACACAGAGACAGATTGACACACAGCTACAGAGAAAACACACACACAAAAAGACAAATATATTGCTTCACACAGACACAGACACACACACACACAGACCCACTGAGGCCCACAGTAACAAGCGAGGAACCCAAAACCAACAAAGACTCACAAAAGCTCCAAGACCAAAAACCCATTTTTGCATAATTTTTCCAGTTCTGGAAAGATCACAATTCGATCCTCCATGCCTTCACATCCCATCTCCAGCTCATAAAATGAATCATGAAGAGGTCATCCAATCCAGCCTCCCCTTCCCCCCCCCCAATTTACAATGTTGCCGCAAGAAAAGGGGCAGGAATCAAGGGCCATTTTAATCTTTCAAACAGCAGGGGACAGCACTGAGCCAACTTCAACAGTCCAAAATTAGATCAATCTGTTTGTTTTGTCCCAGGATGAGAGGCCACCAGGAGATTCAAATATTAGGCTAGATCAGGGGTGTCAAACTCAAGGACCACGAGCCGAATCCGGCCCATGGGGTGCTTAAGTCTGGCCCATGAGCTGCCTGGAAATATCAAGGGACTGGCCTGTGGTGCCTGTGGCAGCTAAAAGGGGCTGCGTGCACCCACCCGCGTCTGGTTTTCACCCTCCATGGCCTCCTCCAGCACTCTGCTGGCTGAAATCGGGCCAAAATATGGGCCCAAAACAGGCTGGAAATGGGCCGTAAAACAGGCCAAAAAAACGGGCCAAAAAACAGGCCCAAAACGAACCCAAAATGGGCCGCAAATGGGCCACAAATGGACCCAAAATGGGCCAAAAGGGCTGAAATTAGCCAAAAAACAGGCTGATAACAGGTCCAAAATGGGCCGAAAAACGGGCCATAAAACCTGTTGAAAACAGCTGAGAAATGGCCCCAAAATGGGCCAAACAATGAGTTGAAAAATGGGCCAAAAACAGATCCAAAATAGCCAGAAAATGGGCCCCAAAACAGCCAAAAAACGGGCTGATAACAGGCTGTAAAACAAGCTGAAATGGCAAAAAACCAGGCTGAAAATAGCTCAGAAATGGCCCCAAAATGGGCTGAAAAATGAGCTGAAAAACAGACTCAAAATGCTTAAAATGGGCCAATGAATGAGCTGAAAATAGGCCCAAAACGGGCCCAAAACGGGCCATAAATAAAACAGGCCAAAAATAGCCGGATAATGGTCCCCAAAATAGCTGAAAAAAGGGCTGATAACAGGCCGTAAAATGGGCTGAAAATGGCCAAAGAACCAGGATGAAAATAGGATGAAAATAGGATGAAAACGGGCCAAAAATGGACCAAAACTAGGCCGAAAATAGCTGAGAAATGGCCTTGAAATGGGCTGAAAAATGAGCTGAAAAACGGGCCAAAGAACAGACCCAAAACCGGCCGTAAAACAAGGCAAAAAAGCCAGAAAATGGGCTGATAACAGGCTATAAAACAGGCCGAAAATAGCTGAGAATGGCCCAAAAAAGGGCTGAGAAATGAGCCAAAAACAGGCCCCAAATGGCTGAAAAACAGGCCAAAAATGGGCCGTGAGGCGAAAAACCCACCCAAATGGACTGAAAAAGGGGCCCAAAACAGGCTGAAAAAGGGGCCAAAAATCCGTGTCCCTCCCCGCTGCCCCCCCTCCCAGAGAACTACAATGTTTTTTTTGAAGCTCGGCTCGAGGCAGTCCTCGCCTTACAACCACAATTGAGCCCCAACCTTTCTGGTCGCGAAACAAGAACCTTTGTCCAGGGAGTGTTGCGCCCCTCGGAACGCCCTTCCTTGCCGTTGTTGTTAAGTGAATCCCTGCCCTTCTTCCCTGAGTCCCACGGTTGTTCAGTGAATCGGGCTTCTGCCCCCCCCCCCCCCCCCCCCCGCGCCCTTGACACTACTTGCAGAACCCCGGGACCGTCATAACTACGAGTCAGCCGCCAAGCTATCTACCTGTTGATTGTGTGACCCCGGGGGAGGGGGGGAATGCTGCTGTAGTCGTTAAGTGTGCAAAAGTAACCCCCCTTTTTTTCCTGTAGGGCCATAGTCACTCGGAACGGTCGCTAAACGGATTGTCATAAGTCGAGAAACTCCTGTCTGTCTCCTGCCCACCCCAAATAGCAAAAGGAGGGGATCACACTGGGTGGAGGATGGGGGTGGTGTTGTCCACCATTGGAGTTTGAATCCAACCGGACCCCAAACGGACACGGCGGTCTCTTCTTCCCTTGGCCCACCTCGCAGGGATGGCGTGATGCACGCCCCCCAAATCTGGGGGACCCCTGTCGCATCCAGGACCCTCCATGGCTCCACCCCATGCTCTCCCCCACCAAGGGGGACCCTTCTGCTCCCCCTGTCCCCCCCCCCGTGGGCTTGTGACCCCCCCTTTTTTTTTGACAGGTTGTTGCTGCTACTGGAGACCTGGAAAAAAAAGGGGGTTGTACTGCAAACAGCCCCCCTTTTGGGGGGGGTGCGGGCGGAATCTCTGCTGTTGAGGCTTGCACCCCCCTTTTTTCTGGGGTGCAAGTGGTCCTGGGTGGCGGTTTTTGTGGGGGCGCCAGCGCTGCCTTCCTGCTCAGCCGTGCACACCCCGTTTGGTGGGGTGAGGGGGTGAGGGGGGGGTGAGGCTGAGACTTACCCCCTTTTTCGGGGTTCTACCTTTCCTGCTGTGGGTCACCCCCCCTTTTTTTTTCAGGTGCCATGCCTCCTTTCCTTCTGCTGTGGTTCACATTCTTTTTTGGGGGGGTGCCACTCCTCTTGGACTGCTC